TATAGGTATTTTACGTTTAAGTTTAGTAGCTTATTATGGGATGTTATGGAACTCTCTGACGAAACAAAAGAATCGCGAAGTAAAACCGGATCTTTAGATGAAGGAACAAGTAAATGTATTATACCGATTCATACATTATTGAGCAGTTAATTTTCTAACGATGATCTTAAAATAGATTTGATTCCACGAGAGATGAATCTTTGGCTTCTTTTCTTCTTCTTCTATCTCTGCCTTTAAAACGATAAGGGATTACACTACGGTCTGTAGGGCTGTTTTCAAAAGTCACGCTTTTAGTTCAGGGAGTTGATATACACATCAACACTGCAACTAGCATAAGTTATCTCACGATGATTTTAAAAAGGAGCCAAATTTTCCTTAATCATTATATATCATATAGTAGTAACAACGTCTTGGCTCCAATCAAAGCTTTTCTTCACATTGTTTAGTGTTAGGAGATGGTCCTAAAATTTTTGTTGCGATAGGGCTCACGTGTTTCGACTTTACTCAAGCTTGTTATATAGGCCTGTTATGTTGCTAGAGGCTAACGTTTAGCTGGTTGCCTGCTGCCAGCTATAGGCTCGACAGGACGCGAACAGCAGAACCCGTTGCTATTGGCAACTGCGTAACCTAAAGGAAAGCAAGATTCCCAGTCGAAAGGCGAGGTGCGGCTAGTAAGTGGTACAGCAAACGAACTAAGAGTGCGGGCTGCAGCTGCTTTTCGCGGCAATATATAAGCAGTCCGTGTAGCTAGTTCGTCTGCAGAACTCTTGGATAAATGTATAGCAGAATCGCAATAAAATGCTGCCGAAGCACTTCTCTACAGGAAGAAAAGCATCTGAAGGCCAACAGCTAACCAACCGCTCCAGCATTACTAGGACCGCATTTTTTTAGTAGATTTGCGGTCATACAACAAAGCATGCGCAGCCATGTGAAGCGAAGCTGGCAGGAGTGCACCGAGGAGTATTCGCGAGCGTGCGATGCGCTGGATAAAAAAGAGCGCACGGTAACTGCAAAGTAGAACCAAGGAAGTGAGACTAGGAAAAAGGCAAAGACCAACCGGAGATGACAGCCTAGGATAAGGCAGGCAAGGTTATGTGGTATAGATTGGACGCGGACTCGCCCCCTCCTCCCTCCCACCGTGGCTTAGTGGGTAACGCATTGGCCTGCTAATTCTAGGGCCACAGTGTGGCCTAGCTTCGAGCCCGGGCATAGACTGACTTCGTGTCGTGCTGGGAGCCAGCCGCCTGATGGAATGTCTAACGGCGATACCGGACGTAAAATTCGAAACATAGAGGCTAAGTTGCGTTAAAAAGGTAGATAATTTGCTTAACAACACTCATAAAACGCGCGCAGATGACGGTGATTCGTCATATCTTACAATCGCAGTATGTGATTGTTATGTTGTGTGGATACGGCAGAGGCGGCTGCTGAGGTAGAACCTGTGGCAGTAGATGCAGCGCTTCCTGGTACTCGACGGTTTCCGTGGACGTCTCGCCGGGCCCTTCACTTCGTTGCTGGCCATCGCTCGCTCCCTACAAGTCAATGCTCGTAGCCAGACGAAGCCTCTCGTTACAACGGTAACCTGCGCTGGTCAAGGCTGAACATGACCATCTTTTTCAGCTGCTGCCGACTGCAATATAAAGTATGTTCTTTCGCCTCTGTTCTTATTTCTTTGTTCTCGGCCAGTTATATCCGTCGGTAGATTGAGATACTGCACTTAGAACTGTTTGCTATCTTTTCCTGCTAGGGGCCAAAATGCTAAACGCACCCAACATGCTTTAACCAATGCTAGAGTTCTTTAGCAGACATCAAAAGATATGCAATAGCCTACCGATAAAGGAGCAACGGAAAGAAACGAGACACTGTCGTCTGAGCAGAAAATGATCACTATTTTCTTCACATGCAATAACCGCGAGCTCGTCATTACGGTTATAAGCTTTGAATGCTACCTTACGTAACGGTACGTCACATTGTAAACACAATCGGTCCATCAGTCGAATTTATTTATTAACTTCTGTCTAATCGTATCCAAACACTTAAAAAACGTGCCTTCTACGTACATCGTAAATTCAGGTCAGTTCAGCTTGGCATTCACTAGTTATTTTATTCATCAGTTGGCCAAGCAAGATGGTCTTTATAAAAATACGTAAGCTTATCTATGTTCATCGTACCAACTATACTATGAACGTAAGGATTCTATATATATGATACCTTATATACGTTTATGAGCACGTATATGCTCGCAAGTCTAAAACGTTAATATGAAATTAACTCAGAAAAGAGTTTCCCAGTGAGTAAATGAATCATAGCCTATACAGGTAAAAGAAACCCACAAAAAGGACAGAAGAAATTCGTTCTGCTTTTCGACAACGTCTGAACCGTACGTGCAGACATTGAGCTTACAACGCGAAAGCATGACCACCTATCACACACACATACGGTCGTCTCAGCACTGAAGAACTTTATTTTCTGAATACCACATCAACACAGATAACTGGGCCGCACAAAATGCGGCCTGTTCCACCGGACGATAGAAGATTACCAGGTTGGCATTTAAGCGAACTTTAGAAATTAAATTGGCACAACTCAATTTTGGGTCTATTGTAATCACTGATGTATATATATTATACGCATATAGTTATTCAAGTGTACTGTATTTTTTGTAATAGAACCTAATTTATAGTCTGCCAGTGTTGCAGTAAATTATATAATCTAAAAAACCACGCCCAGTGAATGGGCTGTAAATTTTGTTTTTTTTTTTTTGTTTTCTATAGCTGCGTCACACTTTATTAGTCATCGTAACAGCCTGGAAACGACTATTAAAGCTGCACTTTATAGAGCAAAAGTGTGCAGTGCGTATCTTGTAGGGCGCCCACATGGGGAACCCCTTTGCTTGGAGAACCAATATTGTCCTGAAGGACACCCTATGCCTACCTATTCTGTAAAATAGTGCATCATATTTCATGATGTCGTTGTTATTCAAAACCGCATATGGCTGGCATGTTTTCCTTCCAGCGCAATAAATCCGGAAAAGATGGCGATTCATCTTGGATTATTAGCTGCTCTGAATATAGCATCGTAGCTGTTTTCGCCCCTCGTTCGAAACTAGCTCTACCCAGAACTTTATTTCTATATCCAACAGATGATTATATATATATATTTTGGTGGGTTTTGGCCTGTTTGGTACACATTGCTTTTTCAGTACTATAGCATGGAGACTATCACGTTTTTTGAAAGTGAATCATACCAAAAATACCGTTTCTACGTGTATGACAAGAATAGAACGCTGCGTTCTTCTGAATAAAATTCAAGCTTGTTGGGAACGCTCATTCTAAATGGATATTCGACGTAGAAAGTTCTAACCGATCCTAGTGAAATGAACGCAAATAACTAGCTTTGCTAGTATATTCCTTAACCAACAAAAATAGGTACAATCAGAATTGATTTCCAGAAACTGTTTGCTCTTAGAGCAATCAAGAAAGGCTATCGGTTCCGTCTCACAAAGAGAGACCTTTTGAAAAATACGTTTGTAAATTCAATAACTTTTCTTCGACAACACTTCTGACTTACGTATGCATGCAGGTCGCGCTAGATGGATATAACCTAGACTACGTAGGGTCCTACTCAAACTGCAGCCATAAGCGAACTGGTTACGAGTAAGTAACTCTGATACACATCGGATTTAATGATAGACGTAATTCTGCTAAAGAAATGATACAAGTTTAGCAAAACGTATAGGACTGTGCGTGGTCACAAAGGTTGCCGCCCGTTGAAATTGTCTACATCATCATTAGCATTTCATACAAGTAGCTTATAGGTGTATTAATATCGTTATCTTCCTCTAAATATCTTTAAAATGCATACTTTACCAATGAAGATCAGGCATTCCTGCGACGAGTCTAACGTTGTAACAATTGTAATAGTCACCGATATATACAATTACGTTCAGTCACTTTTACACGAAACTTCTTTTCTACATCATTTGCCAAAACTCTTTATGCGCTCGTGCTTTCTTCAATGTTCTCTACAAAACTGCGAACGAGTTCTCCACCCAGCAATTCCTCGATATGCATGCCCTTCTAGCCTTCTAGCTCAGGGGCTAATTGAATGAAAAAACAAGTTTAAAAGGTGGGGATGACGTGCGACGCTTTTTTTCCTCGACTTTACTTTTATATGTACTTTACGTCTGCTCCTGCCTCAGTTTCTGTCTCCTTCCCGTGTCACAGGCCCAGCAATATAGCAACGTAGTAGGTCGCACAACATACCACCCAATCGGCCAAACCAATCCCAAGCCCCAAAAGCTTTGAGTGACCTGAAGGCTTTTATGTTCTTGCGGGCGATGTTCGATAGGCTAAATCGATAGCCAAACTATGCTAGCTTGTCTGAGGGGCTTAGTAGCAGTAAATTGCCCTTGGACTCGGCGACAGTGCTGGGCAGTGACGCCGCTAAGCGTTCGTGCTGGTATTATAGGCATCACCACCAACACGTGTCGTCATGCTGGACTTCACAGACAAGATACGGAGCCGTTGCGTCGAAATCTCGAGTCGAACTTTAATCATTCGCTAAATATACAACCCGACATACCCATACAGATTTTGATTTTCGTCTAGCCGAGGCAGCGGCGCCTTGTCCGCATAAATCGGTGGCTCGATAAGGTGATACTGGCGGTAATATAGAGGCGCGTTTTTTTTTGCTGGTTCCTTTTCGCGCTGCTCTATTGATTCTCTCGACACGTTGACACAGTAGGAGTAAAAGCGTAATATTTTTTTATGCAGGGCAAAACCTAGGCAGAACACAACGTCGAAATGTCGTGAGAATATGGATGCACGCTTCAGGATGGCAAATGGGCAGCCTACTTACCACTACTGTTACAATGGATAACGTATATCAAAGCACGAAAGAAGTTTTTTTTTTTATAAATTAGGATATAAATCTAGCTACAAACATTTCAGAAGAAGCTGGAGGTAGTACTATATTTACCAAAATCATAATTAAGCAATTACCTTTCCTATTTTTTTTGCGGAGGAGAGCATTTAATATAACTAAATACATAGCTGTGTTTATCACAACCAGTCTCCGTATACCAGGTGAATTTTTTTGACGGCATAACGATTACCACTTTCGGTCGCATGGCACGTTGATAGCACCTCATACGCCATAGACTCAGCGAAGACTGACCACTTATATTTAAGCAATCGTAACAAATTAACATCAAATTTGCATAAGCGGAGTGGTTAAGGACGAAAACCCAACTTTCAACTGATGACTTTATAGGCTTGTACTGAAACAGCTCTTTAATATGGATCTAAAGATTGTTGTGTCGCTGGCATTTCATGGCTTTTTGTTTGTTGTAGAAGCTTACAATTCCTTACCTTTTAGCGCTACCCTGAAAGGATTCGCTTTTGAAAGGAGTAAACAAACTACATTAACTACAACCATCGGCATCGTAGTTGAAGGGTAACGTCCACGCTTCAATGAGGCCACAGAAAAGGAAAGTTGCGTCAGTTGACAAGTCGGGAGCAAAGAGCTGAGCTAGCTTTGAGGAATAGCCTTCGAAATGGTCATAAGAAACCATCGGAACGAAAGATAATTTGAATTCTTTTGAACGTAGATTACACAAACAAGATAACTGATGTATAGCCAAAAGTCCGAATGGCGTGGTGCGACAAATACATTAATTCAGGCAACTCCAATGGACTACATCTGGCAATAATAAATAAGAATTAAAATAGTAGATTATTAACCTTTATATAATTAAAGTATTTTATACACAATCTATCGAGCCGTTTTGATAGCTAGTTTTTAATGCTATATGAATACAAATTTGATGGTTACTTCGTAAAAAATATCTTCCAGGCGTACATACAACACACAGATTGTCAATATGTCGCCGTACAGTGAACGGTACAAAAATGGCATCTGTTCTTTTGCAGCATTCAAACGTGCGACAGTTTCCTCTACCGTTGAGAATGGCACACATTCATCACTCTGGTACTAAGTTTCTACGAAAATGTACAATTGGAGAACCATTGCTATTCACGCTCAGATTTATGAAACGATCCGAGCCTAGTAAGGACGCTGGGCTTAATCGTTCTTGGAGTATGTCATAGAAAAACGAACGGTATTTCTGACGTACCTTATTCAGAGTAAATAAGCGGAGAAACACTTAGGTCTGCCAAGCAGCGACCGTCTCAATCTCAATATCTGAAGTTGGTCAATGCTTCGTTCTCTCAAGGGTGTGCTTAGATAACATTTTTGGAAAATTCATACCGAGAAATTTAGGGTCCGTTTCAGTATAGCAGCCTGTAGGAGTGTCCTATGATGTTTGTATATATCTAGTACAATGCCGCTTTTTATTATTAGAGACCTTGCCTCTATATTATTTCAATTGCATGCGAATTTCGCCATTACATTACAGTATCTTTCGTAAGCTGATTATACATATATCCAGTCCTAAACCGGAAGCGCCTCCGGAGGCGCTTCCGGCTCTCTGAATCAGTTGGACCTCCCTACTACGGAAGTCATGAGGTTTGCGCGCTCGGAATTGTAACGATACTCTAGGTGTCCTTCGGGCATATGGCAGTATGTTTTCCCGTATACGAGAAATCTCTCCTTCCATAATGAAGCGTGCCGTTCGTGTGTTCTTAAATAATCAGCTTCGCTTACAACAGATAAATATATCATATGAACACAACATCTGAAAGACATTGTCCTCGTTTCCTGTGCATCATTGTTATTATTATTTTTTCGCTTGCGTGTGCTTATCAAATATCTGAATCATAGGAATCATCATCACAACGACGTTGAGCAGACGATACGAGAATTTCTCAAATTTGAACTGCCAAGCCGATACATAACGTGTTAGTCCTGATCATTTGAATAGTGGATTTCAATAACATGTACTCGTACACCACTTACGGAGGCAGTGTAAGGTACAAAATGTAAACAGCTTACCTTAGAGCGCAAGGCCTTATTCACAATAAGTGCAGATATGATAAATTATGCTGGTCCATCCCAGTGAGCACAAGTAACGGGCGCAGTTATTATCCCAAAAACAAAAAACTATGTGTTCAATCGAAATATATTTAACCTAGGTTTTTCGATATGGTATATGTAGACGCAATCAATGTGCTGCAATTCACGTACACAGCTTAGTTACAGACGCACGCGAGACCACCTAACGTAATAACGGGGCTTTGAACATCTGCGACAATGAGCGAACTGTGGCTACGTATGCATTTTAGGTAGACCAGGCTCTTGTTTGGGTGAACAATAAAAATTTAGACTCATGGAGCTGGAAAACTTCATCCCGAAGTTCGGGTTTCTACAAGTTACCGAATCTCCTATGCCCCTTGTCGCGATACGCATCTACGTTTACACTAGTTGCCTTCATTTGAAGCTTAGCCACATAGTCTCAATGGCCACTCACGAAGTGAATGCAAAACACTGCCTCCCCGTTTAATAAATATTCATCATGTACTCAGTAGGCATCTAAAAAGATGCTCTTTCGATGATTCTTTTTGTTGAAAACATTGAATTCATGGAAGTGAGGCAGCTAGAACGTTCGTGTCACGAGTCAGGTTAAGATGAATGACGTCGAATAAATAACGTTGCAATCAATTTATTGCAACATTAAACACTTCGCAGTCGCGCGCCATTCTTGCTAGCTCGACTTTCTGTACACAAGCGAATGAGGACGGTTCGGATGATAGTGGATGACGAGGCATATAGCACGATATACCACTAAGACATTGCTTGCTTTCTAAGAGTTCTAGTAATTCAACATCTTCAGTTGTCAAGTGAAGAGAGCATTTGATACCATAGCGATATTAGAGCCACAGGCCGAACAAAGGAACACTCCGGCCTCCAAATCGCTTTGGCAGCCAGTTTCGTTTAGCGTTTAAAAATTGTCTGCTCAAGACTTACGACCCTTTGTCATTCTCTTCAGATTACGATGGTTACGAACTTGTTCTTTAAGGAGGCCAAAACGATCCCAGAAATGTTTGTTTGGAACCAACATGGCTCCAGAACTATAGACGGCCAGATTTCCGTCGATCAATATGCATTCACGGCATCACTACAGTGTCACGGTTTGGTACGTTGCTATTTCCCTGAACAAAGTTATTGTGCTCTATACTTCGGTAAATATAGAGTGGTCAAGTAATGTTGTCACTAAATATTCCCGACAAAATATCTCGTTGTGACGAACAGGCGACGAAGAGCTACTTTCGTTGTCCGTTTGCGAGTTGCGGCCAATTATCCTTCATGATTCAGCAAGAAAAAAACGTTTCCTGGAGCCTAAACACAAATAATGGACGCTTGAAATACAAGCTATTCTTACAAAGCTGTTGTCCCTCAACAAGTCAACACTGTAACTTAACACACTTAACTACACAGCTGTATTCAAATGTTGATAAAGAGTTGGCAGAAATGCGCACCGCTGGTTTCTGAGTGGCATAGAGCCGCGTAAGGACACAACCACCTCTACGGCGTAAAGAAGGGGGACGTCCAATTTAGACCAGGCCCTTTGGAGTCCTAGAGCTTTAGAGGATTTAAGGCCGGTAGATTGACGATGGCCAGCTGAGGTTCTCTGCCTGTCATTATTGAAGGAGCGCATGCGCTGACTAATGTTTGTCATGTCCAGAATGCCACTATTTTTTTTGCTGACGAATTAAGCAAGTTCGTGTTAATCCAATGAAGCCAAAAATCAGCCATCTTTCGGGCTTACATCCAAAGGTAAATGTCGAACCAAGATTTGGTTACCGCTTTACGTAACTGAAATAGATAATAAGTACCACAGTCGAGCACACTTGGGTAGCTACGTATGCTATCGGGCCTGAGCCAGTTAGTATGTATGTAGGTATTAAAATGAATTAGCTATAGTATTCCATAGCTTATTCGCTGCAAGCGCATTTCAAAGAAGTCAATATCTCGTGCGAATGTTGACCGAGCATGCAGTGCAGCGAGGTTAGCATTTGCAAATACTGAGCGTACTGCACGCTTAGTAAGCCATATTTAATCCGTTCTCCTGGCCGCTTTCTTCCAGGGGTCTGATTGCTACAACGCGAATCGTATAACACAGGATTTGACCCTTATAGTTGAGCGCGAAGGCCAAATTGGTAAATGTTGTGCTATCGTTCTAATTCTCATGAAAAGGACGAGTCTAAAGCCATTCGTTCAATAGTTACAAAGCGGCTGCATAGCGAAAAGCATGAGTTAGGCCAAGCGAGACGATGCGCGCAGTGTACTTCTGCATCAACGTTTAAGCTTTGGCCTTATTAGTTCTTCTATTTAAGGTAAGACTGTGCTGATTGGGTGAGGCGCACTGCATCAGGTAAAGTATACGAGCAAAACGTAGGTGGAAGTAGCGATGTGCGAAAGGAATCAACACCTTAGTAGATTTCTAATATTCAGTGGCCTGAAGTCGCACGAAGTGTGCTATCCATAAGTTTCTGGCCGAGAGAAAGCTAGAGACTACTGATTAGGCGCCGCGTTTCAAAGAGAAGTGCCTCTGAGTGAAGCTGAAGCATATCTGAACATGGTCTGGAAATATATAGTGCTTCAATTCTGAGCGCTTATGTGCTACGATTACTATAAACAAAGTTATAATTTCAATAAATTATATAGGGATAGAGGGGAATCGTTCGAAGCGCCGGTTCAAAGCTCAATGGATTTTTCATTCGAGTCCCAAGTTAATAGCAGTGCATAATGACAAATGCTCCTTTCATTGCTGTCCGCTTGTTGTTAATAACCAACCGATTTTAAGTATGATCGACCAAAACAGATCTCTTATTGGAGTAGAATTAGAGGAATACTTTTTTGGCTAGCAGATGCTTCCTCTCCGAACTTCTATATTTTTGGCTAGCGAAACTGGAACTATTGGGCCTGCATAATTAAATGAATGAATCAAGCCTTTGTAGCTGCAGGGGGTCCGACATCTGCTGTTTGGTTCCAGTCGCTGCTATGGTGAACAAGCGCAATGTAACAGATAAGTCATTTTGTGAAATGTGGCCCAAGTGGAGATGGTATATCCACCGCGGCTTTCAGACAGCACTTCCGAGCGCTCCGTTCGTTCAATTGGTCACCACCAATCTTTCGAACGAGGAGGGCTTATGTCAACTAACCATAGGAATTGGTAACTCTTGTTTCGAGCATAGGCGTGCTAAGAAGCTGAGAATCTTCCTAGCACGTGTGTTATAGTGTTCGAAATCGTAGCTTTTAAAGGACGTTGGCGGTTTTCCAGTGAACGCTAACCATGCTCGTTGCTGGCCTCTATCCCTACTCTGGGTAATTGTGGCGATGTGCGATACGATCTACATCAGCGCGAACGAGGCCAGCTTTGAAAACCGAGAATCGCAAATGAAAACTTTCCGTATTTTCTTCTTTGTATAATGTCAACAATAATTCGTTCTGAGGGTAGTAAGTAATCACTTTGGGAATATAACTGCGAGTGATAACATTTTCTCACCATAGCAAAACTAAGGATTTTTTATTGTCTATTGGACATTTTCCACTTTCCTATAACTAGAGCTTGCTTTTTTCTTGTTGAAAATATTTTCTCCCACCATAGAGAAAATCCATGGCGCTCGATCACTAAACGCTTTCCTATCAGTGGCATGATGGAACATCACACCTGATGTTGATTAAGTAAGAAAATTAGACATTACTGCACTCTGTCCTAGTGTTAAGTCTGTCAATCGATGTTATCTCAATTGCTTCTACTTGTCTGGTACTGCTATTATTGAATAAATTGCAGACGTTTTGCTTGATTACGCTTTTCTGTTTACACATGTCATCATGTAAATGATGTCACTCGTCGTTATCCACTATCAATTACCAACTTCTAAATACTCAGATATTTCAAACTCTGAAGTGATGCGATCCGAGGATTGGCTCTAATTTAGCATTGTCGAATATGGAGCCGTCTAAATTATTTTTTATCACGCATACCTCGTACTGTTTAAGATATCATGCAAATGGCGTGCACGGTTCTGCTCTAGGGCTAGAGCCATCGTTGACAAAAACAGGGGTGAGCCATGTTTTTCCGTTCACATAGGTGTTAGATATCTTCCTGATACTGGAAGAGTCTCGTACAAATGAAGTTTTCTGACAAGTTAAATAAGAACCTCTTCATAATTTCAGCAGATCAGTGCTAACCTCGAAAGGTCCCGCTGAACTTATTTACCTCTGTAGGTTATGAGTTACGAAAAAAAAAATTGTTCAGTTACTTAGTCAATAAAGGTAATTTATAG